AAGAAACATATGTAATCCTTGTTAGTGTTAGTAGATTTACTGAAGTAGTGAAGAAACATATGTAATCCTTGTTAGTGTTGGTAGGTTTACTGAAGTAGTGAAGAAACATATGTAATCCTTGTTAGTGTTGGTAGGTTTACTGAAGTAGTGAAGAAACATCTGTAAATAATTGTTAGTGTTAGTAGGTTTACAGAAGTAGTGAAGAAAAATATGTAATTGTTGTTAGTGTTGGTAGGTTTACTGAATTAGTAAAGAAACATCTGTAATCGTTGTTAGTGTTGGTAGGTTTACAGAAGTAGTGAAGAAAAATGTAATCGTTGTTAGTGTTGGTAGGTTTACTGAATTAGTGAAGAAACATCTGTAATCCTTGTTAGTGTTGGTAGGTTTACAGAATTAGTGAAGAAACATCTGTAATCCTTGTTAGTGTTGGTAAGTTTACTGAAGTAGTGAAGAAACATCTGTAATCGTTGTTAGTGTTGGTAGGTTTACTGAAGTAGTGAAGAAACATCTGTAATCGTTGTTAGTGTTGGTAGGTATACTGAATTAGTGAAGAAGTATATGTGATTGTTGTTAGTGTTGGTATATATAGAAAATGCAGGGAATTATTTCAGTTATAGTGTGAAGTTAAATTTTAATCCAGTTGGCCTTGTGTTGTTAGATAAAATTGTAGTTACATATGCTTAGTACCTTCCCAACTAGTTACTTCTGTGATGTAACCCAGTTGGGGTTCTGTTGTCAGATAAAATCATTGTTACATATGACCAGTCCCCTCCCAACTAGTTACTTCTGTGGTGTAACCCAGTTGGCCTTCTGTTATCAGATAAAATCATTGTTACATATGACCAGTACTCTCTCAACTAGTTACTTCTGTGGTGTAACCCAGTTGGCCTTCTGTTGTCAGATAAAATCATTGTTACATATGACCAGTACCCTCCCACCTGGTTACTTCTGTGGTGTAACCCAGTTGGCCTTCTGTTGTCAGATAAAATCATTGTTACATATGGCCAGTACCCTCCCAACTAGTTACTTCTGTGGTGTAATCCAGTTGGCCTTCTGTTGTCAGATAAAATCATTGTTACATATGCTTAGTACCTTCCCAACTAGTTACTTTTTCTGTGATGTAACCCAGTTGGGGTTCTGTTGTCAGATAAAATCATTGTTACATATGACCAGTACCCTCCCAACTAGTTACTTCTGTGATGTAACCCAGTTGGCCTTCTGTTGTCAGATAAAATCATTGTTACATATGACCAGTACCCTCCCACCTGGTTACTTCTGTGATGTAACCCAGTTGGCCTGGCTAATTCTATAAAATAAATCAGATTAATTTCTGATTGTTTTTGTAAGTATTATTCACTGAAAACAAAGATTATTTTCACAAACAGATACTGAGGTGTGGCTATTTGTATTTTTCAGTGTTAGCAATGAAGATTCTGTAAGAGCACGTGGAGCATCATTATCTGAACAGATGTCTCAGGTTTGGAAATAAGTACATTATATTTCTACTATGTATTATTTAGTTTATATTTATTGTACTGCTACTAGTTTGACAGTTCTTCTAAATGATGACTAAAGTTAAGTCAAGAAAAATTAATAATAATGGAATTAAGATAAATATACCATAATTTGTTGTTAATGTTTATCCTAATTCTGATTTGTAATTTACTCACATAGCAGTTACATTTCATCAAATTAATGTAGTTCACATCGTAACAGATGTTGTTCATGCAATTTGATAATATAAATAGCATCTCAACTGCTTCTGTGTCTGTCATATCTCAGTCGGCCTAAAGACCCTTGTATTAGACAAAAAGTCTCGTTGGCACTGAAATAGCAGGTATAATGTGGTTGACATATTGTTATACATTCTTATTCACTTTCTTTCATAAGTTCTTAGAATTATAAACTTGTTTGTGTAAAGACTCTCCAAACCACACACAAGAAACAAAAATTGATTTTGGAGTGAAATAAAATTTTTTATAGAATTTATTGTTTTTACTGTTTTATATTGCTTAAAGCTTTGTTAAAATTTAATTATTATATACATAATATGTATCATTTCGTTTAAATAATAATGGTATATTAGCCCAAATGTTATTTATATACTATGATTTTAAGGTTTTAAAGAGCAAATTTAGTATTGTTTATTAATCCAGATGGATAACCAAGTTGACATTTTTACACACTTTTGGGGCTATTATTCCACTTTTATTTATACTGATCTAAGATAGTAATTTTACCTACAAATGATATCCAAAAACCAATATTTACCATGGAAGTTACTTCAGGTCTAAAGTGAAGGTATATTTCAGTAATGAACTTTAAGGTTGCCACATCTTTATTTTTCAACGTGTATTGTGTGTGAGCCTGCTTGTGTAATTTTGTTCAGTTTATGATCATATTTCCTACTTTTTCTCTATTATTCATATAAATGCTAGCTTTAAAACTAGTCTTCAGTATGTTGTTTAACATTATGAGATAAGTATTAAAAGAAGATTCTTGATTCTGCATTAAAAAATTATTGTTTGTGGTAAAGATTCAAAATCTGTTGTTTTTCCTACTTTAATGTGTTTAAACCTTTTTAATGTGTATATGTTTTGATCTTGTATACAACCAACATATGAACCAATGAAATCACAACTTGTTCATGACAGACAATCACATGGATAGACTGGTTTATGAAATTGGTAATGTTTTGCCCCATTGCTTACCGAATAGTTCATGCTGAAGTATGATATGAAGACATCATTCATTCATGAAGAGCTCTAGGTAACAAACCCAGTGGTCATGCTTCACATGGAGAATGACTGCCTGGCAGGATGTAGAAAAAGAATTCCTTTACAAATGTTACCAGTTGTCTTCTGGCTCTGTACTATTTTATTGATTCCCCATCTTTTCCTAGGTACACTATATGGTGCTTTGTTTTCAGCAGTGTCATTCCTTGTAAATGTCAATGAAGACCTTGCATGGTTGCCATTTTTATCTGGTAGGTCAACATCCTGCCAGAAGAGTTATGCTGGATATGATAAATAAACTTCTCTTGTGAACTTCCTCATTTAGCTTTACCCCTATGTGGTCTGGCATTTACATCCAAGTGATGTCTTACCATGTAGTTGCTTTGTGCTCTGCCATCTTTCAGGGGACCAACCAATCTGAATTTTATACAATACTATCTATTAATCAGTTGTGTTTTTTTTGGTAGCACTGTTTATCTGTGGTTCATTTCTCAGTCTCTACATTTTCTGTCTAAACTGATATCCACTGATACAAGTGGCATCAGATGTTTATACCACATGTGAAATTCAGAGATCTGGTGGTGACAGATCCACTACTTGGCTGATGTCTATGGGATTGTTGTGGAGCTTGAATATCCTGGTTGAAAAGGACAACAACCTTATGCAGTGTTTTCCAAACTTTAATTAGTGCCCCCCCCCCCCCCCAACTCAGCAAAGTTTCTGCTATGTCCCTCCCTTCACATTAAAATTTTTGGAAATGATAACGGCAAAATCAACATTTTCTTTACATATTTTTAATAATTTTTTAAAAGGAAAAAAATGATTGTAAGGAGTGAGTAATACAAAAGCAAAAACAAAAACTTTGAGAGCAAAGTGATAGTTTTCTTAGGTTATTCTTTTCTCCAATACTTCTGTTTTTTTCATCCTTATTTTGAGACTCTCTTGCCAAAAGGCTATCCCCCTCCCCAGCCACTGGTTTGGAAAACACTGCCCTAGTGAAAATTTTTACTTGAAAGTGCTGTTGGTGTTCTGCATTACTGCTGAGGATTGTGAGGTGTAATAGAGCTTTGATGGAGATGTCTGAAGTAAATCCTGTGACTCGTCTTTTAAGCAAGTTTTGTATCTTTTCAGTCTTATCTAGCTGTTAGCACTCATACTAAACATTGGTAGTGCATAATCTAAGATAAGACTTTGGTAGAGAATAAGCAGTTGACATTCTTTATTTCATGCAGCAACTTTCAGTATTTTGATACCTTTAGTATCTCTGTTGAACAAGATGTTAATGTATCTGGTAAAGTTGTCTGTCAAAGGTTACTTCCAGGTACTTCAGAGAGATAGCTGTGTCCACAAAGGATAGTGGTGGCTTGTCTTCAGCATGTCCATTGATGAATAGCTGTGGCTTTGGTCGGATTGATGACCATTCCTGTGTCATAGCACCATTGAATCACCCTGCGAAAGGATGATTGCATCTTGTTTTCAATTTTATCATTGCTAGATCTTCTGCTGTGTACCAGAGTGTCATCAGCAAAGGTTAACACACATCTGGTTGGACTGTCAAGATCCATGTTATAAATGTTGAAGAGGACAGGCAAGAATGGTTATTCTTTAAACAGACTAGTACAGCTGACAATCCAGTCAGAATACCAGCTTTATGATGCATCTTCTGGTAGTTATTGTGGCTAAAACTCTTAGTACATGTATATGATTATTTCTGGTTTTAAAAGTATTGAAGATATACATTATGCATCTTGTATTGAAGCAGGAGGATAATATGATTAATTATAGGTTTTGAAGACATTATGTTTGTTGTATAGAATTAGAATTTTTAAGGATGTTGTATAGAGACTTGATTGATTTCTCCTTCAGAGCTCTAAGAGTGATAAAGCTCAGATCATCTCCAGGGTGGCCAAACTGGGTATGTCCTTACTACCTGTTGCAGGACACCTCAGTAGTGAGTCAGACATAGAGGTAAGTTATTCTAATCAAAACTATTTAATTCTTTATCCATTGAACTTACTATTTGTGGGTGTGTTTATGTCAGAACTACCTTTTTACTCTCTTTTTTTGTTGTTTACAGTGTACTGGTTTTATGATACTCCAACATCAATTAACTTTACAATGTATTGGTTTTATAATACAACAAATATCAATGAATTGTACAATGTATTGGTTTTATGGTGCTTCAAGTATCAATTAACCTTACAATATATTGGTTTTATGATATTTTGAATATCAATAAACCCTTCAAGGCAGAATATCAGAACTTCTTGTTATGACCCTAACCAAGTACCACTGTTGTAGTAACTTTATGTGATGTTATGCAGCATAACAAAATCTGAAGTCCAAAACTTAACTATAATGGTTATCACCAAATATCACTGTGCTACAGTTCTTTATTTGAGGTTAATCTGTACTCTGTAGGTAAACTAATTTTACTTAATATCTGAGAAATCCTGAAAAGGAAAATACTTAATGTAAAAAACAATTTTAACTTTGTAACAGAATATAAACTACTCTGTTAAAGTAGAATAATTCATTTATAGTAGGTTAACTATATAATTGGTTGGTTTTGTATTTTATTAGACAATTCCTGATTCTTGTGTTTATTAATGGCTATAAACCGTGTTCTCTCATTTTAACTAGAAATGAGGTAGTGCATCTAGAAGCAGCTAATTGATAGTCAGTTTTGTTTTTCTGAAACAATTACAAATAAATTTTCCTAAAACTAAAAACATAACAATTACAATATTACATGTAATTGATACCTTAACCAGTTGTATTATAAAAAAAAACTATAAACGTGGAAATTACAATATTAGATGTAGTTAATACTTTAATCAGTTTTGTTATAAAAACTATAAGCACAATAGTTAAAATATTTAAAGTTTTCTCTGTCATAAGACTGTAGAATGCTACTTTGAGTCAGACAGAAAATATGTTAAAATTATGAATTGATGACACTTGTCTTGCTGAAATATCTGAATCTCTAGAAAAGATCTTTTCAATGTCTATAAGTGTATTAAATTTTAAAATGTCTGACTTTGGTACAGTTTTTATTCAAGATATTAGACAATTTTATTCGTAGATTTAAAAGCAAATGTAAAATTTCAATACCAACAGGGTGATCATCCTCATTCCTCAGTGTCGCCCCCTCCAGTCCTTCCATTACATCAGCCACTAGAACAACGAAAGTCAAGATCATCATCTACTCTCAACCAAAATATTGTCCATTCTATCCAGCCTGGTGTAACTCAAGGTAATGCAAAAAGTATTTGGTAATCTTAAGATATTATAGACACCTTCAGTAATACAGGCATTATATGAATTTATTGTGTTGATTTGATAAGATGATTTTTTTGTATTTTCCATTGTGCATTTGCTAACCACTATTCCTAAACCTTCTAAAGCTTTAATTGTCTGAACTGCTTTTGAATTTATAATAACACATTTCATCTAATTAAAAATTTCTCTATTTAAAATCTTCATCATTTAATTTTTTAAAAAGTATATCTTGTACACCCTGCTTAGATAGTTATACCAAAAAAGTACCCTTAAGTAAGAACTATCTCAATATGTTTAGATGGTTGTAACAAAGCAGTACCCTTAAGTAAGAACTATCTCAATATGTTTAGATGGTTGTACCAAAGCAGTACTCTTTAAATAAGAACCTTCTCAATATGTTTAGATGGTTGTACCAAAGCAGTACTCTTTAAATAAGAACCTTCTCAATATGTTTAGATGGTTGTACCAGTGTAGT